GTAGTCAGTTCATAAGTAATTCATACCAACTAACAACCAGACTAGCCGGCATTCAGACACCTACAAACAAGTACGACAGCATTGATTATTTTTTTTCGCTCATTCATTTCATCCTTTCATTTCGGGCCATTCAAGTGTCCGTCAAAAACCCATCTACTCCATGCTGTGTTTATTCATTTGTCTGGCCGCGTTGTTAGTGAGTTCGATGGCGGGACAATTTCAATAGCCAAGACTGGTCTGTATGAACGAACTATCAATCAGTTTTTGACAGTTTTAAGTAGAATTTTATGAAAATTGAGCCGAGTCCTGTGTGCAAATTCCAATTGAAAATTGCATTTCGGATTTTTTTTTGCAATTTGATGCGGCGGCGTGGTCTAGAATATGTCGATTAACTTACTTTGGTTCGCTGTGTTTATTTTCTTTTTTTTTAGAGAAAGGTTTCCGGCTATTATGCAAATTTTTATGTTTGGCTAATTGTAGGAGCAAGTGATTTTGGACTATCGGTTAGACATTAATGAATAATGCATTTGATCATTTTGTCGGGCAGCGCATACAATTGGTTCAGCTTTTCGTACTGTCCGGCTTATCTTGAGGAAATTGCCCTGTGCTATAGGACATACTGAAATTAAGGTCAACTCGCACACAGCCTTAGTATGTAATCACATTATTATTACGCCGGAAATAATCGCGTTGCGAGATAAGAAGATTTATTGTGATGAAGATTTATTGTGTAGTCACTCCAAATATTAAATAAGTTAAGTACTCCGGAGGGTGCCGTCTTCCAAATTCCTAGTGTTCCTCCTGCAAGGAGTTATGAATCTCTTTGATCGTCTTATTTCATTTGACTTCCGCCAGCAGGCAACATTCTGAGATTATTCCCGTTTCCTAGGTATTTCTGCAGTGTATTCTTTAGATGCACCGCAGAAAGGCTCGGGACCATGCTATCGCATTCGGGTTCCATGCTTTGCGAGGCGATCATCCCTTTCGTTGCGTTCAATGCCTACGTGTCCCGGAACCCACGACCTTGTTACGCCATTGTGGGTTCCCAGGTAGTTGAAAAGAGTTTTACAGCTGTCCACAAGCCTTGACGCCGATTTAAAAGGGGCCTTTACAGCTGCCTGACTATCCGACATAATATATATTCTAGCCCCATTTACCCTTCTGCGAAGACATTCGTGATCACAGACTTCGATTGCAAAGACTTCCGCCTGGAATATGGTTGGGTATAGAAAGATCTTGCCTAGTTCCTTAAGGGAGGAAAGTAGTTCAGCAAAAAAAACTCCATGTAACAATTTGCGATTAAGGTTAAAAAATGTGTGGTATTGATCAGAAAACCTTCTTGAAAACTCTCTTTGCCCGGGACTTCGATCATCGTACCACAATACAAAGAATTCGGCTTTGCGGCCCTTTTAACATAGAAACTATGGTCCTGATCAAGTGTTTGCGCCACCATACTATATCAGAATACTTGACGATCGGTCTAGGTGAGGTTACGTTGGGCGGTAGTCCAGAGTAGGACTCAGTTATACTCTGGGACCTTTGTGATACCGCATGAGGTTTTTTAATTATCCCCGTTCCTCTCCAAACCACTTAGTTCTTAGCAAAAAAGTGCATAGGCTTCTAGCGTTCACCGTTTTGAGCTTATCGAGGTCGTTGAAGAAATGGCTGCCAAGGGCTTTTTCTCTCCGTTTTGACAGAGCTGGGTATGGCCGAGAAAATGTGGGATTATTTCCTCTTCGTCTTCATCCACGCAGCTTCTGCAGTAGTCGTTCCAAGGTGTGCCCAGTTTAGCTGCTATGCGAATGTTCTGCTTCCTTTGATTAAGTAGAGACTTGGTGTGTTGGAAGTCTGTGGCTGGCCAGAGTGTTTTGGCAATGTGGCAGGTCGGTTCTATTCGACATATTTCATTGGCAACCTCTATGAATTTTTCATTAGGTAGAAACCTGTGTGCTGAATGTCTCAGGCATCTCGTTAAGAGATCGGCGACACTGAGCAACTACTTTTGATCTCAAAGATTTAATTGCCACCTGACTGTCAGTGACTAGGAATCGTATCACACTGTACCAGTGATGCGGCCTTTGAGATAGCCATCAGTTCCGCCTGGAAAACAAATTATTAGTCAGGAAGACGGAAGCTGAACGATATGCCTAACTGCCCCGAGTAAACCCTACCACCAACTCTTTTTTCGGTCGGTCTAACTAATGCTATGCAATAACAAAGTGCCATGGCCGGTTACAGAGTATGAGACTCAACAAAGATTCTTTTACGTTGCCCAAAAACTCTCCACGTCATCTTTCTTTCTGCAGTTACCTCTGGATATTTCACACTAACACAGTGTTTCGTGTACTGAGCGACCTTCAGAGCTTTTCAGCTTTACCCGGTTTGGTACACGTACTTTGCCCAGGTCCGGACCTACGACCCTATTTCTGCATAACTCCTGGGAACAATTAATGGCTACAAAATAAAAAGCACTTCGCAGTTCGAAGACCTACGCTAGGGCAAAAGATTAAACCCGGAGCCCACCCATTCAAAGCCAAGGCTACCAGGTCTACCTCACCGATCAGAGAGGAGAAGGGGAGGCTGAGAAGGTTCACTAGGACAGTATGTGGAAGCAACGTTCTGTGGAAGAAGTCCCAATAACGGCAGCGGAAACGCATGAAATGTGGACTTGTTTTTTGCTATGATAGCAAAACTTCGAAAAGTCATAGGTACAATAGACGAAAGCAATGAAGAATTTCAAAAATACTGTTGCAAGTGAGACAAGCCAACCCAGAACCACAGTCATCATTTACAGACGTGACTAGTAGCAGAATTACAAGCCATGCTGCGATCGATAATAGTATCCACATAAGCCTATACAGAAGCTCGTCTGAAACTTTTTGAAGACCTAAATATGCCACCGCGAGGCAGGTCCAAAGCTTCGGCGCTAATTGCAACATGTGATACAGTCCAAATCTTGAAGAAGCTGACTCAGACCGAACACACGCACCATGTGAGGGCGGTTAATTCAAAGCATACAGATCGTAAAACAATTGCTTGTCAACAACGAAAGCTTTGATATTATTAGAGCAAAGAGCAACAATAAGGTTAACATGGCTTATGGAATATCAAAGCTTCAAATGTCGACATTAAAACTCCAGTTGACTAAGAGGAAAAAATTTAGAGGGTTTCCTTATCAAATTTAGCCTCTCTCTATGTTCTGAAGCACTCCAATTTACATACCTACATACATATACTTTTACTACACTTTGCAAACCATGCACTTAAACAGCATTTTCGCCCTTCCGCATTGACGCATGCGTACACGTCCTTGTTGCAATTTAGCGGCAAAAGGCCTGCTAAGTATTTTGATTAATTTTTTAGTACACACATCTGTTAAAATACAATTTTCGCAATCAAAATTTAATCAGTTTTGCTATTTTGTTGTTGTTGTCCGTGTATATAATATAAACACAATATATGTACTGCTAAATGCAATAACAACAAAATATTAATAAGTATTCGGTTGTTGCCACATAAAAGCGCGTGTTGAAGGAGGTAGCCGTTACCGTACGTACAAAGCCGCAAATGAAAACAAAAGCAAGTCCTACAAAAGAAAATAACAACAACAACAACAACAATGCATTGCAAAGAGGGGCAGCACTTTGTGGTAGCACTTAGGAGTTGAATACTCGACAGACAGTGGCCAAAATTAGGCGGTCAAGTAGGCGGAGCAGATTGATGTGAAACTAAATTGGGATTTTACTCAATTTTCCTTTTACACAACATTCGTTCGAATATATGAAGAGACATACGTACATACATACATACATATTTATGTACTTACATATGTTCACGCAACTGTACAATGTAGATATAGGTAACTATCAACCGACATACATATGTACGTAAGTATGTATGTAGGTGGGAATGCAAATACTACTTACATATGTACATATACACGCATATACAACTTAACCCCAAGAATCTTAAAAAAAATTGTTTTCGAATACGTTGAAAGGCTTTCGGAGCATTTTCGATTTTCAAAAAGCAATCTCTGTGTGTTAAAAGTTTTTTTTTTTTTTTTGATGAATTTCATTAACCAAAAACAGTCTGCGTTAGTTTGTTGATGGTGTTAACACAGCCGAGACCATACAATGCGGACAGACAGACACTGGCACGCAGACGCCAATGAACAGGCAATAAAATGCAAAATACGTTAATACAAACACAAATAGTAGGTATTTTTTTTTCTTGTTCTCCTTTCTTTAATGCTTTTTGGCAGCTTACCTGTGTTGAGCTGAGTGTTTGGCATACATAAAAGGATGCTAATGTAATTCTGAAAGGATTTTACTTTTATTTTGATTTATGATTGAAATTTATTGCATTCGCTTATATTGTATTTCAATCACCGGCTCTACCAAAGCCTACAGGCAAATGCACTCTGTTGCAAGTTTTTTGAGAAATGTGTACAAGAAGGATTTTGTATTTATTTTGGGCTAAACATCGTGAATTCGTGCGAATATATAGCGAAACTAAAAAAATATATATATATATACAGTGCCGGACAAAAGTATTGGCACAGAGAATTTTTGCAATGTGTGCAAAGTTTTTTATTCTAATTTATTTTCATGGACTATATTTTCACGAACAAAATTTAAACTTGAAAAACCTTCGTAAAGTTCGGATTAACAGAAATCTAGCTTTGAATGAAAATTCATTGAATTTTTCTAAGTTCTGTATAAAATTTGAAAGTTTGACTTACTTCTATGAAAAAATCACAGAAAAATTTTAACTTGAAAAACCTTGCAAATATTTAACAAAGAACACCATGCATTCACTTTTTATCGCCAGTGTATATATGTACATATGGATATCAAAAAGACATAGTTAAATCTTTTTCCATCATCGATAGCACATTGTTAGGGAATATTCCCGCTGTAAGAACTTAATATGCATACATGCTCGCATTTAACCCAAAAACTAAACATTCTAAATTAATCACATTTCTTTCCACTTACTTGTCTTCTCCTGATAGTATGGATCTTCGGTGTCAGTAAAGAACCACGTCTGTAAAAAAAAAGAGAATAAATAGAACATCATTAATCCAAGCGAGTTAAGAATAATATATGAAAAAAAAAATGAAAAAGAAAATGTTGTTACTTTTCCAAATTAAAAAAAGCACAGGGAGGAACCATTACGGTATGGTGTAAGTAATTGTGAGAAACCTGCTGCGTGATGAATTTTCATGCCCGCTGATTTCAGAACATCACAAAAGAAGCGTAAATGTATGTATGTTGAATATTTACTAGATCGCGAAAATGTTTTTACAATCGAAATAATTTGTATGCAAAGGTGAGTATAGTTTCATAGGCAAATGTGTATTTATGTATATTAGGGTGGTAAAAAAAAAAGTAAAATCAGAATTTTTATGCTCTCCCCCCCCACGATGACTCTATGTCGAAAAAAATATGCCCCAATTTTTTTTTATTTTGAAATCAAAAAATATTTAGGGAGTGCTCATAGCGCACAAAAATTTCTATGTTTTTATATGGGGAAAAAGCAACTTTTCGTAGAAATGTTATGGAATTTTTCAAAATCAATATTTTTCGATCAGAAAACTCATGTTCTCTTCAGCGGACTTCCAATAATAATACCCAATTGTTTATTTAACGATTTTTTATGCTAACGAATTTTTATTGGTGCCAATGTTTTGGGGGTTTTGGGGAGTTTTTAGCGTACCTATAAATTATGGTTACTATGAAAAAAATTGTTAAATAAGCATAGAGTATTATTATAGGAAAACTTCTGCAGAGAAGCAGAGCTTTTGGATCGAAAAATTTTGATTTTTAAAAACTATATCATCCTACAAAAAATTTTTTTCTTTCCCCATGTGAAATACATGGAAAACTTTGGGCGCTTTTAGCGACCTTTAAATCTTTCTTGATTTAAAAAAAATAGCGTAATATTTTTTTCGGTATAGAACAATCCTAGCGGGTGAGAGTATAATAATTCCAACTTTACTTTTTCAAATGCATTTTTGGTTCACCCTAATGTACATACATATGCGGGTATAATTTGATTTACATGCAGGCATACATACATTCATGTACACATGCATAGGTACTTTTCCCCACTTGTGTCGAAATTTCATTTTTAAGACACTTGAAATTTTCTTACATTTTCTTATAAGAAATTTAACAAATCAGATAAGAAAAAAATTCCCACACACATAGCCCCGTACTATTTGTGGGAAATGTGAAGAATACCCGCATGAAAGTAACGCATCGCTGGCTCGTCTCAACAACATGCAACATGTAAATTTATGCATTTTCTTCAAATAGTTGATGGTTGGTGGTGGTGATGGCTGATGGTGGTGGTTTGGTGGTTTTCCGGTGGCGGCGGTTTATTTAATTGGATTGCTTGACTTGGAAGTTGTAAAATTTAATGGCACTTTATAATGAAATTGCAAACATACGAACATGTATTTACATACATGTGCACATTAGGGTGGCCCAAAAATACATGTAGGAAAAGCTAAGGTCTCACCCCTTGGTCCTATTCTTTACCGAAAAAATATACGCTTATTTTTTATTTTGCAATCAAAAAATATTCAGAGGTCGCTCAAAGTTTTCAAGGTATGTTATATTGGGCAAAAAACAAATTTTCGTAGTAGTCTATATTTTTTGAAAGTCTATATTTTTTGATCGGAGAGCTCTGTTTCGCTTCAGACAACTCCCAATAATAATATCCAAATTTTTGTTTAACCATTTTTTCATAGTAACTATATCTTATAGGGTCCTCTAAAAAAACTTGAAAATGCAATGGGGGATCCATACAAATCGTTAGTTATTAGAAAATGGGAAAAAAACAATTATTGGGTATTGCTATTGAAAGTATCCTAAAGAGAACTAGAGTTTTCCGATCGCAAAGTATTAATTTTCAAGAATTATATAAAATACATGGAAAACTTTGAGCGCTTTGAGCGACCTCTAAATATATTTTTTATTTCAAAATAAAAAAAGGGTTATATATTTCATAAAACTCCGAATTAACTTCTTTTTTTTACCACCCTAATGCACATACATACATATGTATGTGCTAGGGGGTGGAAATTTGTTCGAAGTTTTTTTTCGAAATTAAAATGACTTCCAATTGGACGGCAAACAAACTCAAATCGATGAAGGGAGTGCACAATTAAGCAAAGGCTCGGTTGATGAAAAATTATTGTATTAAGCAACAAAACAGATATGTAAATAGTTTTATACATATCGCATACGATCTTCAAATGTGACACAACTCAAAATTTGGCATATTTGAAATTATGCACTAAAAATACACACAGAGCCTTTATTTACCATTCAGAAAAAGCTGGAGTAAATTTTTATTATAATTTGTTGAAAATAACTTAAGGTAAAGTTCCCCTTTCCCTTCCGATGATCGTGTAATTTTGAGTTGTGTCAATTTTGAAGATAGTGGTGTGCGATATGAGAAATTAATGAAAAAGAGTGTATTGGATAGAATCTACATATGTATAGAATCCTATATTTTGTTATCTTAAAATATTCTGTCTACACGGGCACTACATACAACTGAAGTCGGTTTGGGCCGATAATAAAAAAAATCGCCAATTGCCTCTCTCGCATAAAGTGTAGACAGGTCCATCTACAATTGGTCCTACCTTCGTGGCCGCCATCTACACTTGGTCCTACCTTCGTGGCCGCCATCTACATTTGGTCCTACCTTCGTGCTCTCATTGTCCGCCCATTGGTACCGGGTCGAACGATCTTTTCACCGGAGCGTCATCATCCTTATGTACGATATGACCAAGCCATCACAAGCGTTGTATTAGTTCAACTTCTCATTTTCTTTAGTACCCGTCGTCCACGTTTCGGTGCCATACGTACCAGCAAAAGTACGAGAATGATGAGATATTTGTTGAGCGTGACATTCGTTCGTCAAAAGAGGGCTCTGCCTTTGGATTGCCTATCGAGCCCAAAGTAACACCTATCGGCGAGAGTTAAACTTCATTTAGCCTCCAGGCTGCCTTTGTTGGGGACTTCACTACTTCAAAGTTATAACTGTCAACAGTGCTGTGAGCAGCAACAAGCGTAGAATTAGTGTAGGGAAATTTTTAAGCGTTCCTCAGGGTAATAATTCCTGCTTGAAAATCGCGAAAATATTGCTAACTTATCTGCAGGAAAACTTGATAAGATTTTTAAGTTGTTGCATCTTCTTAGAAAGTTGGGAGGTATAGCCGTTTCAAAACTATAATTGCATACTTAATATTTTT